CGAGATGAACCCCCTTGACGGTCCAAGATGTTGGAAGAATAGATCTCTCTAGATCAGTAAGACTAGCTCTGATACCATGTTAAGTTGTTATTGAAGAGAGCTTGTTATTGATGATCAGATTTACAGGTTTATGTATACACAAATACCATATAACCCATCAATCAGTAGCCCACACCAGGAGGCGGCTATACATACATATAGGATGACTACACATATTAGGAGGTGGCTATACATACATATATGGTGACTACACATACATATATGGTGGCTCATATAATATCTAATCAATAGGGTGGCTCATGATATTATTTAACAATAAGTTTGATACTTTTTCTTGTCTAATTAGTGACAGACCATCTTTGGAGATATTTCATTGACCATCTTCGGAGATATTTCATTGTTACTGAAATTTCCATCTAAGTTCTAGTGAGGAGCAAATTTGGATGGACTACCTAAGGTTTTGTGGGTTCATCATAGTCATAGTTTTAAAAAGTGGTCTATGCTCCTGCCTATGACTAGGTGGTACGTAGGTCACCTGCCGAGGTAATGGGAATGCCTAGGGGAGCATAGGCCATTGTGCAAACAGCAAAGCTTAGGTTGTAGTCTGATTTCCTCCATTGCCGCCTCCACATCCTTCTACCTCCCTAGGCTCCTCCACTGCCGACCTCCTCTACCTCCTTCAACCTTAGCAAAATCTCCACCACCTCCAGCTTAAAAAAAAACCTCCAGCTAAAAAAAAAACCCACATAGGCTCCTAGGTGCTAGGTACCGGGTCAATGCCTAATTCTTACTGTCACATTGATCATAGTGATTGTTTAAGCCTTTTTCTCATTGGAATGGGTTGGCCTCGGAGTACAAGGCTCAATGAGAGGGTTCACTGAAAGTTGTGCCTTGGCTAGAAAACTAAAAGTTGATTCAACCGTTCAAGTTGATACCAAATTGTGAGCCAAGAAACATTGAAAATGTGGATTGTCATGAATGTTATAAGCTCACTTAGAAAGTGGGATATGTTTACCAGATTAGTAGTGCAGTATCAGCTTACTCTACTGTAGAGCATCCAAATTCACCTAGACTATGTAAGAGTGCAGAAGTTGGGAAGTGATAGATTTTAGGTGGGAATTTCATTCAACTCTAGAATATAGATAGACAGAGACTAGCAAAATTACACTAAGGGCTATGAGATCCTCTTGAAGTGAAAGGATAGCACCTACCTTTTTCGGCTTTGTCATTGTTTGCCTGTGTGATTGGCTTTGGACATTTTTGTTTGCTGTTGATGGCAGGTATCAATTCATGTTTTCCTAATACATCGATTTAGTTTAATCACTCCATATTTTATTAAATTCAACTACTCTAGAATTCACAACCCAGTCTTTGTTTTATCATTTTACCAGCAAGCTCTTTTATATCAATATCGAGCTGTCGAACCTTGAATCAGAAGAGCAGCATAAAAAAATCATGCATAGATATTTCATATGTCACATAGGTTGCAATCAATACATTTTCATATAACACCAATCTACATTTACAGTTTTGTACCACGTCGTGGAAAAAGGAATAAGCTGTGTGATTTCACTACAAATATGTTGCATTTGTGGCTGGAAGTGGGTCAAGATCAGACTAGACCTCACAAACTCTTGTCTTGGGCATGGTTTGACCTTGTCAATCTGGGACTTGAACCTTTGGGCTCTGTGCAACTCCGGATGGGGCTTGCAGCAAACTATGATCTGTAAAAATTAAAAGTAGAAGTTCATACATATTGTTCATGGAAATTGAAAACATGATGGTACAACTTAAATTTGTGCACCTTAATGTGATCATCAATAACAAGCTCTCTTCAATAACAACTATTTCTGATTTTCATACATATTGTTAGTTTCTTATGGAAAAGTGTTAAATATATAGCATATAGTGCTAGACATGGGTGTATAACTATTTCTGATTCTATCCAGGTAGCGTGCCATTGATCTGACTTGGAATTATTTTCAAGCCTTAATTATTAGTGTCCTACCACGGTGTGGCTTTTCCAAAATCCTTAGTTCATAAGTGATATAAAATGTTACATACGTGATGTAACATGGTCAAACAAGCTTCCTTACTGTTGAGCTGCAAATATATAAAATAGAGGGTCATTTGCTACTTGAGTCTTTCTTCTTAGATAACTAAACAAAAATTCACTTCTTAAATTTAAAAGTTCAAATTTATTATTTGTAAATTTTCAAAAGAAATTCCTTGTTGCATCATATCTTGTTTTCTTAATGAATCTGTAGAAGTACACATTCCACAACCTAGATACTAGGTGTTGACCAAAACAATCAATCAAAATTTAGAGGCTAAATTTGCATTTTTCTTTAAGATATGTATATTTGTGACACCTGAAGGTAAATGCAAATTTAGGTTCTTATCTGGAAAGAGAACCCGACTTTAATCAAGAATCTGTAGAGCAGTTTGTTTTTGTCAAAAGGGAACATAACATTCTTCATATTATAAGTGCTTTCAAGGTCAATAATGATTTATACATTTGTAAAAAACTGGACAAGTGCATTTCAACATTTATTTTGTGAGTAGCTTTTGAGGTGGGGAGGGGCCTACATATGATATGCTATTTAAAATTTGCTGTGGATTTAATATCCATGTTGTACCTTGTCTATCTGGTATTTACATCTCTATGTCCACACATGGTTTTCTATTGAGTATTATGGTTATCATTGACATATAGTTTTTGGAGTTCTGGTTGTCTACCTTTTCCTTCTGTATTTTTGGCTAATTCTATGATCATTTTTTTTAATCACGAGTCCTTGAATAATTCTGTTCAAGTTACCCTTTCTAGTGCCAGTTTTCCATTACCTCTGTGGTCTCAATCAATCTATTGGCGTAGGTTTTTATTTATTTGTTTGTTTCTTTTCCCTTCCTGTTTTTGTTGCAGATTTGGTATTTATTTTTTGTTTGACACTATCATGTTTTGCATGGATCAGCAGAAAGTAAGTCCATGAATAGCAGTAGTAAGGACCAACCAGTGGTTGCAGTAGTTTCGGGTTCTACTACCACTAGTAATGCGGAAAGTAACATATCTACACCAAGAACAGGTGAGGATCTGAAGATTGCTTCACAGCTGCGGAAATTCACTTTCCAAGAGCTGAAGTCTGCCACAAGAAACTTTCGACCTGATAGTCTTCTTGGAGAGGGAGGCTTTGGTTGTGTTTTTAAGGGATGGATTGAGGAGAATGGAACAGCTCCTGTAAAACCTGGTACTGGGCTTACTGTTGCTGTCAAGACACTTAATCATGATGGTCTTCAAGGGCATAAAGAATGGCTGGTATGTAGCTCTACCTGCTTGTTATTTTATTTCATGTGTTCTTTAAACACACAAAGACGTGAATAAATTGTATATGCTTTCAGGCAGAAGTTAGTTTGCTTGGCGATCTTCTCCATCCAAACTTAGTCAAGTTGATAGGGTACTGTATTGAAGATGATCAAAGGTTGCTTGTGTATGAGTTCATGACTCGTGGAAGTTTGGAAAATCATCTTTTCAGGAGTATGTAACTCATCTCATTAGTTGTCTTCCATTTTTCAAGTATTTTGATTATGTATTAAAATCCATTACTTTATTTAAAGAGGGCTAAGCATGCTTCAAGCCTTATCCTGAAACATATATACCCGCAACAAATTTTATCTCTTTGTTGTTTTACACATCTAAGTTTTAGTAACAAAACTGTGAAAGTTTATTGGACCTCATCTCTGATTTATATTATTTTATTGAGTTAATTGTGATTAGACCCCTGTACTATAGCACAGTTGCGGGTGGATCGTAGACCGCCTGTAATTCTATTGGTGTAGATAGTCCCCCCTGAGTGACCTTTTTTTGGACTCTTTTAAGAGCAAAAAAAAAAAAAAAAATCAGGCTATCTGTACACCCATGGGCAAACAGTACAGGGGGTCTATTCTCACCCAAAGAACTATAGCGGATATATGTGCAATTAGGCAACAGTGTAGGGGGCTATCTACAATTAACCCTAAAATTTTAATTGACTACAGTTCAAGGTTTTAAATATCGGATGTTGGGTTCATGTCGGACGGCTAAAATTCATGTCAGATAGCAGAAATCGGTAGCAGAAATTTGGGATATGTCGGGGAACATGAAAAAAATATCGGATTACCATATCGGATGGTGTGCATATGTGTAATATAAATATCATAAATAAAATCTAAATAGACTTAAAAAATTCTATTGCCTAAATATATAAAAGAGTAAATAACTTATGATGCTTAGGATTGATGTTGAAGGAAAGAGGTGAGAAATCCGATATTAGCGGTTAAGAAGAGAGAAGATCGTCTGATATTGATGTTGAAGGAATAGCTCGGAGAAGAGACCGATGAGATGTCGAAGGAGACAGAGAAGATGAGCGACGAATATTACTACGGTCTTTTTTTTCATTTCACTTAACTTATTGGTTTTTGTCTTTAAAAGTAATATTAAGACAATCAAGAATTTACTCAAACCTGATTAGACAAACATACCCAAAAAAATAAAAAAGTCAACTAATTTTTCAGACTAAAAAATCGGCCGACATAAGACATAACCGACATATCACCCGATATATCCGCCCGAC